ACGGATATTGAACTTTTAGATACAAAAGACAAATTACTTATTTTCCTAGCTACAGAACGAGATTCAATATTCAGTAATATGGGCGTAGCCAGGAAGCAGGTTAAGAAAAGGGCCTAATGAAAAATGTTTGTAATGTCAAACTAAAACACAACTGATAGAAGCATTGATTGAAAAAAGGTAATTCCATGGAAATAATATTTTTTTAAAATAATATTTTTTGTCAATCTATTTTTTTAACATAAATTATAAGCATATTTTGGCAAATGAACTTTTCAATCTGTTAAATATTACAATTTATCGCAATTTAGTTTATTATTGTCTACATAGAAGTTCTAAGAATCACAGTCCCTATAGTCTTTGAACATTTACAATTTTACCCAATACAGCCACAGTTAGAGAATTCATATGTTTTTTTAAATTTAAAAGCATTTTTGTTTAAATACAATATAGTAAATAAAAGCATACTATTATTTTTACTACTACGCAGCTATCTTCGCAGAATAGCTCGTATCTTCTGACCAAATACTATCACTAACGAGGAACTATGGTCCAAAACAAATATGAGAGATATGAATATTGATATTCGGAGAAGAAAATGCAAACCTCTAGAAAATATCGCAAATATGGCCCTACAGTATAATCCCCAATGCAACAGGCGTAGAGGGCGACCTTCCTCTACATAAAAGCGTTTAACTTTTAGTTGAAACTACAGCAGTATCAACGCGATCAGAGACATCGCATTGCAAAGAAGATAATGGAAACGAATTATAGATAGCCTATGCCCAATATAAGAGGCAGCTCAAAATCAACTGCTTGACATCGAGCAAGGCTTTAATAATAATAATAATAATTACTTCTTTTGACACTTGAGAATGTCACACACTTGAGGAATGTGAATCCTCTTCACTTAGATTTGGCAATTCATTATGAATCGTTTAACACGAGACAATACTATCAGATTGTGGAAATTTACTTTGAAAAGAAATAAAACTTTTCGCGAAGTTCTATGTGACTATAAATTTCACACGGCAAACATCAACATAGGATTCCGGCAGTTTAAACGTGTACCTTTCTTTAATTAGTTTAATTAATTAATAACATATAAAAACGAAGATAATCCTTAAGCCGTTAACGAATCACCATTACTTCCATTAAAATTAATTGTTTGGTGCAGTTTACAAGCTAGTGGCATCATCGGTCTTTATTTCTTTCGAAATGAGGAAGGAGCTGTCGTTCCGATGAATGGTGAGCGCTATGGAGCCATGCTGACTGAATTTTAGTTTCCAAAAATTATTCAGTAAACATCAATGACATCGACCATACAGAAATTTATTGAAAAAACAATTTGGTAACAACTTTATATGTAGAAATGATCCTGTTAACTGGTCCCCTCATACTGGTCCGTACAATTTAGCACCTTCCGATCACTTTTTATGAGGATTGGACTATGTTAAGTGATTGGCTTATGCCGACAAACCCGCAACTCTTAAAACATTGGAAGCCAATATTCATGCTGCCATTGATGCCATACTGCTGCATTTATTGCAAAAAATAATCAAAAATTGGGCTGATTGAAAAATGATAGACACTAGTATCATTTTTAGTTCTATTGCAGCTAAAGAAACACCCGATACATGGAGGTGCCTACAAAAGTTCCAGCTGATAACCGACATTTTTCAATCGCATCCCAAAAGACCTGTACAAAAAAAAACAGATTACTGTAAATAAAATAAATCGGTTCAGTCAAAAGTATTTGCAGTTGTTATATATAAAAACTTTTGCTTACTTTAGAACTGGTCTTTAGTTCACCTAAAATGTTTCTATAAAAAATGATAGAAATAATTCCTTAATAATAATTTAACATTTAAATGATATTTTCATTGTCTATAGGATACGCGAGGTTAGTAATTATTTTAATTTTACGTTTCTATTCGATCTTCAACATTATTAAAGCTTTTTTTTATTCCACAATTAATAAAGTTAAATTAACTTTATAATTACTGCACTTAATTGTAAATGTGCATGATAATTTTTTTAACCTATTTATTCTCCCAATATTTTTTATAATTATAAATTTAATTGTTGCAAAATAAAATATTGTTGATAAAGATCAAGACAAATAATCTCACTTAATTTTAAAGAAAACATACAGTTTCAATCACTTAACTTAAAAACTGAAAACCAATTATATTCTGCTCAAAAAGTATACGGATTTTGTTGTTTGTTAACTACTCTTTAAGATATAAACCTTTTTCAAAAAAAATTTTTTTTGTTATGTTGGTACACCCTTTCTTGACATATGGTACAAATTTGAGCGCCATCTGTTAATTAGTTTGTTTACAACAGTTGTTAATGTGAGACTACCTCAAGTACATTTAGCGATTTTTACTATGGAAAATTCTTGTTGTACGCGATTTTTTGACCACACACCCAAACACGGCACCACTGTCATCGCTTAGGCACCATATTCGCCAGATCTGGAGCCGTGCGACTTTTTCCTATTCCCAAAACTCATATTGCCCCTTCGTTTTGAATCGATTGAATCGGTAAAAGAGAATTCGTCTACGAAAAGTATATGGAAGATTGGGTTAAGCGTTGGCATATGTGTATCGCTTAAGAAGGAGCTTATTTTGAAGGAGATAAAATAAATTGGGAATAAAATTTAAATTTGTGAATTTTATTTACAAAATCCGAGTACTTTTTGAGCAGATGGTACAACTATTCCATAAATATTTTCATTACATATAAATAAATACATGTAAATCAAATATATACCACATTTTAAAGTTGCAGGATTTCGTATTTAAATTGTGTATGGGTACCCGGATACATCGGTTGGCCAATAGTGTATATTTATTTGGTTAGTAAAACTAAGGTTAACTAACAGAACACAACAGCTAAGGGAACAAAAAACAATAAGTAAAATAGGTAGAATTCATATAATAACTTTACTTAAAAAATTATGCTGCATTATTCTTTTTGTATTTAATATACATACATATAATAATCGAGGCGTATAAACTGCCGATAGATACACAAATGTTAGAATACATGTGTGTCTGACCTGCATACTGAAATGTATTACTTTATTTCTATGGATCAAAATCGTCAGAATCTTAAACTTCTTGAAATATTACTCGTAAAAATATTTACCCACTGTCTAAAATGTTTATCTTGCGCAATATTGAGTGCATTGTTCATCACCATATATTACCGTTAGATATATGTTAATTTACAATAATAATAATATATATATACAGATATATTAATCTACAGATATTACCATAACTTCTGCTACCGTAATAGTTTTTGTGAATTTGTATCTGCTTCAACAGATTGTTTTATATCTGAGAAACTACCAGACCCTGTCTTTTCAATATTAGCTGAATCAAAAAATTAAATGCTGTTAGTATAGTACCGATTTATTTGGTCATGATCAGAAAAATATTCATTTAGATAATACTACCTTTCTATCAAGTGATATTAATGTAGTATATTAAAAACACACGGTTACTGTCCTTGCACATCCAGTTAAGTTTATAGTTTATCTGCCAGTGTCTAAGATACCGAAGCCTATGTACTTTTTATGTACATAATATGCAATTACTTTCTCTTTTTCTTTCAAGTATGAGAATGATTTAAAGCTTAAATATCTTTTATAAGTTTACAATATTTAATAGAGTTAACAACTGTGTTAACATTTGATTCAGATATAGTATATGGAGGTCCTGAAGATTGTTAAAAATAAAGATCTTTGTTATACGATCAAGATGTGCCGTTATCAATGGGATGATCTACTCTGATTAGTTTCCATGAACTAGCAGAATATGGTTTAAAACCTATTAATAAATATTGTTGACTTAATTGAATTTACCTATTTCTGTGTACATCGAAAATGGTGCACTTGAACGTGGCATATCATCAAAATAACCTTTGGCTTCGTGACTACTATTTATGTTAACATAGCGGAGGTTAAGTCAGTTTCAACTATCAATATTTGTGCAATAAATTCTCTCATATATTTATTCTTAAGTCCTGATTATTGTTTGGAAGAGGAGTTGAACTGTGAGCTGAAGTAAAGTATTTTGCAGCAACGTCATTATACTAATTCTCTACTCTTTCTTGATGACTGGATGGAGAAAGAATGGAGAAAGAAAAAAATTTTTCAATCGCAAGCGTTCTACAAGCGTTAGATTGAAACTTTAGTTGCTCGTAGAATGTTAGACATCCTAACTGATTGATGTTAAACTGATTAAAGTCTACTGGAGTAATTAATAATTACAATACTAATAAAGTTATTGAAAAGAGTTCATGATACTAAACAGCTTAATTAATTATCCTTAATCAAAACTTCGTCCAATTTCGTTTCCATGTCGGGGTTATTCTTCAATTGTCGGGTTTATATAGGTGCTTTCGAGTCGCTGGGTTGTTGATTCCTGAGTTTGACTGAGCACTTTTGTGTGTTGCTGATAATTACATCTATGACTGTGTTATTTCGAAAATTTCCATGAATACTCACGATTTTCATACACCAGAGGTCACCGACTATTGGCCAGTGTTTGGTGATATATAAGAACAACTAGAAAAATAACTCGTTTTCAAAAAGTTTTTGCACTTTAAAGCCATTTGGCATTTTAGTTTGTCAGAAAAATGTTTCATAACATACATACATTTCCGTGCTATGATAACATCGACTTGCTGTGGGTCAACAGTAATATTAAAATTGGTTAAAAGCTGCTTCGACTTTATATATGTAAGTTCTGTCACATATACAAGATCTTTCCATTCTTTGTTGATAGAATGGCGCACTAGGAGGTTATGAAAAATCATTATGATCGTTTATGTAGGGTTTGGTTTCCGGTATAAATGTTTGTCGAGTATAGTCACATTATTTCTTAATAATATCTTTAAAACTAATAAGTAATAGACGACTGTTTTTTTAATATTAAAGAATTTAATATATTTCTCAAAATATTCACAATGTGTTCATGATACTGACAGTCAATTTTAATTACAAATTGAATTTACAGATAATTTACAGTAATTTGGAAACAGCTATATAATTTATATGCAAAATTTTGAATAACATTTAACTGATAAACATGCACAATTTAGTCATTTGGAGAAAAGTTAGTAAGTGACGTTGACTTCAATGATTCAGGTAACATCATCAACATATGAGATGCAATAATATAGATGAAAGATTTAACTGACACCAACTGCAATAAAACAATCATCGATATCATAAATATATATCAAATTAAAGATTATTTTTCCTTACTTTACAGTTCCGGTAAAGTTAAGAAGTGTTATTTACTTGATTTCGTCTTAACTGTTGCCAGCTGCGGACTGTTAATTCAACCAATCGACGACCGTAATATACTTTGGTAAATAGATCTAATCGTCTCTGGAACAATAGTTGCTTTTGTCTGTTGTCGCGACTGTAATCCATTTTAAATGTAAATGTTTCAAAAGCAATAATATTAGTGCCAGTCTTCAAATACTGGAAGAAAATGTCGAACGCTGAATCTGGAATTACAAATTGACGTCTAAGGCGTGCGTGGCACATCTGTACATCTTCCTGAAACCGTTGCTGCACTTGCTCTTGAAGTTCAGGATATGCAAGAGTAGCATGTATTCCTCCTACCAGTGGCAAGTTGTAATAATCAATCATTTGATGCCTTGCAAGCCTTTGGAAGTCCACATCACCACCTCCGTAGCTAAACTATTAATGAGACGATTGATCATAATTCAGAAATTTTATGAAAGAAAACTTACTCGTCTACAGTCCATTATTGCAAAATATTTTTCATTACCAAAACAAACTCTCTAATCTAGTAATGCCTAAAAATTGTTCCGAACTGAGAAATGCAGATTAGTTTCTAAATCATTTCAATAATTGTGTGAAATAAAATCATAAAGAGATTTTTTTTATATTTCATTTCTAATATATTTTCCATGGCATGCTCTATTATTCTATTCTTCTATACTAAAAGTTGGCGATATCATTAAACAAGTCATGAACTATAACCGCTAAGGCTCTAGAAGACCCGGAGGAGGTTGATTGGAACTGAGCTACAATCTTCCGATAAAAGTTGGAGCGAGGTTAAAAGTTTGCCGTCAGAATGGAACTAGCTCCCAACGGAGTGGAGCGCTGCGACCATTATTGACCTTTTGTGCTGTAATCAGATGGCGTCAGAAAGACACCAATGAAAATGATTTGTTTGGACCTTATTCTTCCTGTAGAAATTATTGAATTAAATAAATACTGAAATAAACGGCCTGAAAAAAGTGTTTGAGTTACTGTCTCAAATTTTTGTTAGAACTCGCAAAATACTAAAAACACACGATTTTCACAAAAATCGATGTTGAAAATAAATATATCTATATATATTTACATATATATATATTTTTTTTTTATATTTTATTTACGATTCTTAAAACAAGAGGTATTAATAAGTAATTTGATTGGAATATTTAAGGTAAAAACGAAGCTATTTTCCAAATCGCTGTGCATTAAGTTTGCCACTCTTTTCCTATTTAGCCGTCTAAGTAGTGCAACCGTCTGAAGGGTTGAAAATATATGAACGGAAGTTCATAACTTATTCTGAGTAAATAAAAAAAAAAAAAACGTTACATTTTTAATTGTATTCCAAAATAGAGGAATAGAAGAAGGTAAATAAGTATGAAACCACATAGGCCGGCTTAGAGTTAAGATAACAGTACACTATAGTAGCATGGGTAGCAAATGGGATTATCATCGATTTCACTAATATTCTTTGTACTTCCGCTCGTGTATATAGGATTTGGTAGACATAAATATGTAGATATATAAAATAGTAATTAAATTTATTTATAATATTAATTTTTTTAAAATAAATATTAATTCTTTTCGTACTTAAATATTTTATTGGATTAAAGATAGAAACCAACCTGGCTTACCCAGGCTTGTATTCAGATTATGTAACAATAAAAAATCGAACAGACTTTATATTTAAACTTCTGCATTTAAATATGAATCTTAATCCAACATCGAGATTGCAAACTTTTTTATCGATAAGAACACTCCAATAAAATCACGCTGTTATCCCTAAAGAAAATAGTTTCATAAAGACTAAGTTGACGTGATTAGAAGCAACTGATCGATTTTTTTGAATTGTAATATTTAAAGGTTTTCTAGCTTTACGAGTTATTATGATATTATAGAATGTTATGTTATTTAGGATGAACGAACTAGCATACTGCTCAGTTCTTTCATCCTATAATTATGCCATCCAAGTTAATATTTAATATTTGATATGTCACACTAAACCCATGATACATTCGCACGCATGACATAGTTAAAGATCTCAAAAAAGACCTAGTCAAAAAATATATAAGGAACAGATCCCTGAAGCTATAAGCGAAAACTGACAGTCTGCCCTATTTAGGGATTTATCTAATCTTAGAGCAGTCACTAACCGCACGGGGCGGTATGTACATCTTAGATGAGTCATCGAATAATCAACGAAGGAATACAAAAATTGGTCAAAGAGATGGGAAGGACTCTGTAGAAAATCCCCAACTACCATAGGCAAGAGTAAAAGTGTCCAGTTGCACTAACTCAGAAAAACACCCAAATTCACGACTTACGAATTTATTTATTTTATGAATTGCTTTGAATAAAATTTTCTTTTTAGTCTTAAAAATAAAACTAAAACACTACAGAAATGTGTACGAAACTCGTATTTTAACCGAGATTAAGATTCAAAATTCTGTAAAATATTGCATTTTAATATACGTAATCAACTACCAAGGCTGGTTTTTTATCGCACAAACTTTCAATCTGTGTCAGGACACATGAATTTATACATTTGTGTGCGTTCCATGCAACACATACACACACACGGCATATGTATTGTGTTCGTGTTTGTTTTTGTTTTTGTGTTTTCAATTTGTTTCAGTTTTTCAGTTTTTTCTTGTCGCCATGCACTTGAATTAACTGATTGCAACATTTTACTTTGTTCATTGTGTTGCGGGCCATCTTTCATGGTGTAAGTGGCATGAAGACATTATGTTTGTTGGCATTCTTGCACCCAGCGGGAATTTTACTTCTCCGTCTGCAAGCAAATATATATTCTTCGCTTTGGAATGTGTGGAGGTATATAAAAAAAAAATAAATTCTTTTCTTATTTCGTTTCTGCAATATTTTACGATACCTCGTTTAGGAATCCCGTAGTTTTCTTATGTTGAACTCGTTGCCACTGCCGCTTTAAAACGGCCTTCTTTTAAAAGTGCTTCTGATTACACTTAGGTGGGAATTGATTTGCAAAATGTTAACTCATTTGCAATATGTTAACTCCAATATTCCCGTTGGGATCTGCAACTATAAGCATTTAGGTATGCAGATGCTTTAGTTGTTATTTTAAGACTCACGTTGGCTTTATGCTTAAAGAAATTAAGGCATGCAACCGTGTTATTTGTTGTTTCTGTTTTGTTTCGTTGCATTTTGTTACGTTTCGTTAGTTTTGTAATGAAAGTGTTTTTATATAAAAGTGTATACTACCCGTATATTATATGGTTACACTCATATATATATACATATATATATATTTGAGTAAGCACATTTGTGCATTTCGCTAAGTGGATGTTTTAATACGTTTAAAATGTGCGTATTTAGAGCAATCGTAGTCATTTTCTATGTATTGGTTTTTAATTTCAAAACATGTTAAAATGACATGTGAAGGCGGTGCTTCACTGCGTATGAGTAACACTCGTTTTTTGTACAGCACAACAAGTAAGCGTCCAAATAAATCTAAATGTTAAAATGTATAGAAATACTCATACATAAATGTAGTTGGTAAGAGTAGCGGGAAAGCAAAAAAAAAAAAATTTATAGAGTTCACAATATAACATAATAAATTAAATAAAATATTTAAATATGAAGCTTGCTTACCACTGTTAGATTTTCATATAACTATTTACATTATAATTATATTATTAAATTCATAAAAAAAATTATTAAAAACAATTAATTTATTGGAATAAAAAACTGATATATATAATTAACTTTATTTATTGTATTACTTATATTATATATGGTATATAACACATCACTCAATAAGTCGTGTGACTAACTAAGAAAAACAAATTTTTCTGCCAAAAATCGATTTGACTCACCAATATAATCTCTTTCAAGGGCAATACAATCATTCCAACACTTCTCTAACTTCTCGATGCCGTGCTTGTAGAAGGATTTTTTTTTTGCCTCAAAAAAGGCTTCAGTTGCAGCAATTACTTTTTCTTTTGAGATGAATTTCTTACCGGCGAGCATTTTTTTGAGATCAGTGAATAGTCAGTAGTCGCTGGGGGCCAGATCTGGACTGTACGGTGGAAGAAAAAGCAATTCGAAGTGTAATTCGTGCATGTAATTGCTATCGGTTTTATTGACTTGTGACATTGTACATTGTCTTAATGAAACAAAATTTTTTTCTTTGCCATATGCGGTCCTTTTTTTATAATTTCTGCTTTCAAACGATCCAGTAATGCCGTGGAGTAGTTACTATTGATGGTTTTTCCCTTTTCGAGATAGTCAATGAAGATAATACCATGTGCATTTTAAAATACTGAAGCCATAACCTACCCAGCTGACTGTACTGTTGTGCCTTTGGACTCTTCGGACGTGGTTCACCGGCTGCAGTCCATTCAGATGATGATCGTTTTGATTTCATAGTGAAATGAGGGATCCATGTTTCATCCATTGTCACATATCGATGCAAAAAATCTGATTTAATATGTGCAAACATGGCTAAAAACTGCTCCGAATCTTCACCACATTGTTGCTTTTAATCGACTGTGAGTAAACGCGGCACCCACTTAGAAAAGAACTTTCTCATGGTCAAATGTTCATGCATAATTGTAAACACACTGCCTTCTGATATCTTTACGGTCTCAGCTATCTCACGCAATTTCAATTTAAGATTAGACATAACCAATTTTTGGACTTTTTTAATGTTTTCTGGAGTAACCACCTCAATTGAACGACCAGAATGTTCACCATCATCGGTGTCTGTACGATGTCTGTATACAATATTATGCATAAATTAATTACATAAATCATTTGAAAAAATAATTTAATAAGATATATTTAATTTAAAATGAATAAATAAAATAATTCGTCTTTGTAGTGCGTTGAAGAATTTTTCAAATCAATGACAGAACAGTACAGGAAGAGCTTCTTTATTACATCAGCGAATCTGGAGAGCACCTTTAGGATTGGATTGATTCGCGTATATAGTTTGCGAACGGGCTAGAAATAAAACAAATTAAAATGTAATAATGTATAACTAATTTCAACAAATATTACATATATTTATTTAGGCTTATGCAGAAATAATGACTCCAACACATATTCAAGAAGATATCATTGTTTCTGCTATACAGCGATTGGACGCAGCCTACAAGGCTACGTACGTATTCGAAATCCGGGGTTGCAGCGTAGAATAAAAACGGCATCAAATTCAATAAAGCGTGATATGGTTTTTACAGCTAGTTTTTATACTTACTGAATTCTAATATAACCTTTAATATTTCATAAAAAGATATTTATACAATTTTTATTTAATTTGATGTTCAAATCAAATTTGTAAACAATGTATATTTGAGATTTATATAATAATGTATTAAAATTTTTGTAAGACGGTCTCTGAATTTGTCTTATTTGTCTGTCATAGTTTCAAAAGTGGTGTTTTTTAATAAGTGTATATCCTAATGAAATTATAAAATGTTGTGTGTTTAATTATATAATATTATAAACGAATTTATCTGGTTTCTGGTTTATGTTTTGGTGGTAACAATTTGCGACCCATATGTTTTGATTGAAAATCATGCCAACTATCAACGCGACTTTGGCGAGATTCTTCATAATTCTTTTGCCATTCTGTTTCATACTCTTGTATATCCTCCTCTTCAATTTCAGCTTCACGTTTTCTTTTCCGATCCTCTTGATCACGTTGTTCAAGTTGTTGTTGTTTTCGTTCCACATCTGCGAAAAGCTTCATAACCATGACATGGAGAGCATGTTTGTAGTTCTCCGGATCATCCTCGGGAATATCCTCAAAACGTTTATGTTCCTTTTTCTGTTTTTTACGCTTCTTTGCAATCTAATATAAAACACACAAGATGTGAATAAATTGTTTTTTTTTATATACTATCATTAATTACCATATGATTGGTACGCTCTTTAGCTTCTTCGTAGATGTCCAAACATTTCTTACGTGTGACTTCATTTTCCAATGTTCTCCAAGAACGATTTACAATATCGAACGCCATTCGTGCGCGATCTTTGTTATCTGGATTTCTATCTGGATGAACTAGTTTAGTCATTGTATGATAACGCTTCTTTATGACATCTATTGTAGCTTCTGCTTGCACTTGCAGTACCTCGAATGGATTGAGATTGAAATAAGTCGAACCTGGTCTTAGTAGATGATCAATTTGTTGAGTAGAAGTTAGTGCAGAATCGCGTTTTTCTATTTCTTTAACCTGTAATATATCCGTATGGAACCCAAATTTCAATATTTTGAACATATATATGTACAAATATATTCATTTATTTATAAATGCAGAATCCGAACGAACTTACTTCAATATAAAATGTATTAAACGATTTCTTTGAAGTAGACATATCATCTGAATTATTCGACATTTTATGAAAATTGAGTGTTTATGGTAATTATTAACTTAGAAAAGTTTTGAAACTTTTATTTGTTGATAGAAAAAAAAATCACTAAATGTTGCAGACGTCAAAATTGGTAGAAAATCAAAAGATATAAAATCGACACCTCCTTTGTCAAATTTGAGTGACACAGAGTTGTCAGTTTATTAAAATGAATATGTATCTGCTATAATTAAATAAATTTGTACCTGTAGTAGCAACTATGAATTTTTTTCGACATTTGTCTACTGAGTTAATTGGAAGGTAAATTTTTAATTATTATGAAATTTGCTAGACAAACAAGTGTACTATTGTGAATAAGCGGCTGTATGACAGTTTTAAATACATTAACAATAATAATGACAGCAGAAAATGCAATGCTCAACAGCATATTTTTTGAACCAAACGTTTAGCCAATATCGATGTAATATTAAATATTTTGCCATTAAGAGTTTTTTTTATCGGGTCAACAAACTTGTACTGCTTAAATACAATAGAAAAATTTCTATTGGTTCACAATACCAAAATTCGGTTGTGTCTATAAACGATAGAAGCTTTTCTATTGTCTATCGGAAATAGATAACTCACAATAGGCACTTGTGTTATATTAAACATTTTGTCGTAAATATATATTTATTTGATGTACATGATATATGACCTCATTACCTCCGATTTGGCAGCTATTTTTTAGTGAGCTCAAAAAAAATCGCCTTAAGAATAGGCGATTTACCTATATCTCGGGAAGAAATTTTTTAATTGTTTTTCAATGAGAGACGGACCCATGGGGTTTTGAAATAGATCATTTGTGACCACTTTTCAAATTGTAATATTTCAGGCTCTATAAATGATGGACACCTGAAACTTTTGGCTTTGTGAAGATAACAAATTCCAAGTTCTTGCAATAAATATATATAATTAATATTGTTAATATTTAGTTACTTATATTAACCGTTAATTTAAAAAAAAATTTTCTTAAATTTATTCATTGAAAGGTTTAATTTTTTATTTTTGATTTAGATTCAACATGAAGAAACTAATTAAGAAACTAAAACTTTCCCGTTGGCATTACGTTTAAAAGTATTTTGGATAGATTATTAATGCTGTCTCTCACATTTTACGTCTACTCACTTAATATAAGTTAAATAAATTTTCGAAAAACATATTTAAATATATTAAATTTGTATTTTTGATTTGATTATTATGTTTAGGCTAGTTGAGTTAGTGTACTTGAGCACTTTTACTCTCTATTAACTTCGAGGTTTCTTCATAACCACTCTCTACGCCTTGGCTAGATTATTGTTTATCACTTCATTAGACTAAGCAATAATTAACTTCAGATTTGCATACCTTCAGGGTTATAACCTTAATGTATTTTTTGTTTTAATCAATCTTAAGGTCCCTGAGGAAGTAATTCGTCCTAAAGTACCATTACACCTTGAAAAGTCTTCTCAGAGCCCGGCTTTATGCAATTTCTAGCTGGCGAATAGAAGTATTTGAGGCCTTGCTGAACGCTACACATCCATATAGAATTGATTTGAATTTACAATAGACCTTTTAGATTGCAGTATACTATACTTAATTCATAATTATAGGTAATAATTTTAAAAATATTTTCCGAGATAGGGCCTTTTTTATTTTGAAATTCATATACATAAAAAAATTTAGGTGAATCGAAGATGTTAAACTCAGAAGCCGTTCCGTTTATGAGGGAATTTTCTATGTGTAGGTGGGTAAGCTTGTTCCAAACAAACTAATTTTATTATCAACAGCTTCTTCAAGTTCAAAAACCCTTATATCCATAATTCGTCGTATCTATTAAGCGTTTCGAGCACTCTAACAAAATGGCATGCGAAAAGTTATTAATGTGATCAGAGAACTAACATAATAGCTTGCTCAAGAAATGTATATCCACCAATCAAGCGTTTTGAATATTAAACAGACGATAAAATATCGCTAGATTCATCAAATATATCGTCTGAGTGGATCTAAATTTAGCACAATTTTTTTTAAAAAATATGAGAGAAACTATTTTATGTAATCTATTGTCTTACAGTACAAGTTAATTTTTAACGTTTGCACTTATAAAGTGACATCCCAGAAGACAGAGATTTGGTTATGATGCGAATGGAAGAGTTATTAGAAATTTATTTATAAAAAAAAATTTTTCTTTATGTGTACAAAAGAACTTCAGATTAGGCAGTTTCTAGGATCTTTAAATAGCATTACTTACTATTAGTAAACCGCTAGGTTTTAAAACCGAGATGGTTGCCGAGATAATTTTAAATGAAGAGCTACATCATTATATAACATAAAAATTGATTAAAATAACGATAAGTTGGATGGTTTCAAATCAAATGTAAACAATGTTCACTATCCGTACTTCAAAAAACAGTTCCTTATTGGTGAACAAGAACTTTTCACACGCCTAAAATGGTTCTTGATGCTTTCCCACTTAACTTTCCCGGCTGAGCTAATTTTTCCAGGACAAGGTTGTCAAAGCAAGTTAAAGACTAGAGCACGTACCCTTTTTGTTATCAATATTAAATTTTTTTTAAACAATTTACTCAGTAAATATTATGGATGATCATCGTGACTTTAAATGATAGCTAAGCTATACTTAAAGTGCTGTGTATCTTTCACAAATTATTTCTGTGAGAAGTTTTAGATTTTATTGGCTTTTCATACTTTTTAGTTCTTAGCGCAGTCCGAGTAATGTTTATTGAATGTGTGCAGCCCATGTGAAATATAGACGTTGTACTAAATCTAAGTTTCTGATCCAATTAGCTTTTATTTATAAACACCGACACTATTTGACGAGAAAAATTTTTCTCCCAACTGAAAAACACTTACTAAATATTATATTACTTCTTGGTTGGGAAAAGAGCATACTTTCAGTACCAGGTATGTTCATTTGATTTTTCTAATCTCTAAAACTGACTTGAATTTAATTTTCTCTAAATACTTATAATTGTCAAAATAATTATTAAGCCATCAGTTTTATTTTCAAATTTATATTTGAGATACTTTATAAAATTACCTCTGTAGTTTATGGAAGAACTTTGTGAAGGTTTAGTTGCAGACTGCCGTCATATTAGTAAAAATTTACTATGACATTTTTCATGGAACACTATGGTCAGGGATATTGATACCTTCTGTTTTCACAAGTAGTTTTAAAGTGGATATAGGCAGCAAGCATATCGGATGATGAAAAAATGCTGGTGTATCTAACTGCTAATTCTATCGACTTGTTTTGCTTAAAATGAATAGGTTTGAACTTAGAACAATAAAATTGATTGAATGTGGCTCGATGTCAGTATATATAAAAATTAGATAGAAACTACTTCGCATGAAATTTTTTTGTTTATTATCCATTGTCACTATATTCGATTAGATAACGTTAATCGAATTTGGTACAAGAAGCCGAAAATAAAGAAAATACACGACGAACCCATACAGATTGTAATAAGTATATTAAAATACTAAACACAGTTATTAAAAACATAAAGTTTAATATATATAGTTAAAAATGGATTGTCAAAAACATTTCTTTACATTATTGTGCTACATAATAACACTTTAAGTTAATCATATGAAAAATGGCGTATTTCCTTTAAAACTCTTTTATCTTACTGGAAATATGTTAGTATTGCCCTTAGTATTAGTATTCTATGTTTTCTTAATTAAATCTTTCCCATGAAATAGGCATAAATAATGGCTTAAGTATGACAAATGCCATAAGAATGAACTTGAAGCTTTACTAGAAACCGAAAAGAAGATATCTATTTAATATCTGAAACTGATTTTATAAAAGGGTCTTATCATCATGTTAAAAACTTTAAAACATACCACACAATTCATCTCAGCAAGAAAGTATTGGGCGGAAGCGCAGTCATTATCGTAAGTAGTATACAACACTGTGAATAGGAACACCTCAGTACTGATATATGTAACTGTTAAGACCCGAAAGCAATCTTTTACGAGTGGTGCGATTCATAGTCTTCCGCGACTCACAATCACAACTGAAGGCTATAAGCAACAATTTAAGCACCACAAATGCAGATGTGTCCTTTGCGGAGACTTTAACTCAAAACATACCGAGTATGCCGAGCTCTCTCATATGCACTACGTGAAAAAAAATGGACGACTATATCCATAGGGAAACAGCAAAATGGCCAACTAATAATAGGTGCCAGACCTATTAGACTTTTTTATAACGCATAAATTATCAATTAACTATTCGCAAGTTGAAGAAGATTTGAATCTTAACTCAAATTCCTTCTCTGTGTATCTTACTTTAAGTGATAATGTGATGCTTCTAAAAGAAAACCCCTTTTTAACTAAAAGCAAAATTGATTGGTAATATTTTTGACTAAAATAAAACGAATATAATGATTATGATTGAAGCGTTAAAGTTTGCCAAAGCTGTACAGAATGTAATTTGGGAAAGTACGCCTCAGACCAAAACAAAACAATTCGGCATTAATAATCCGCGCGAGCTTAGACATGAAATAGCGCAAAAACGGAAACTCAGAAGGAAGTTGCAATACTTATTATACATGAAAATAATTTTTCAGATTAAAACCTATAAAAGCAGGCGTCCCACAAAGAAGCATGCTTGGTCCGGTTTGGTCCGATATTTGTCAGGCCAGAGAACTCCATTGTTGCTGCATTTGCTGATGATACTGTAAGTTGCATATGTATATTTAATGTTCCAAAATAAAACAAAAAATATATATATACGAGTATAATTAGCATTTCTATTCCAATCCTTAACAACTAGGTTTATATACTATATTTGTTAAGAGAATATGGGTTACATAAAGAACATAAGATTTAGAAACATGTTATTTTAACTCTCAAGAAAGGTTAACAAATACTAGTTCAATTGGCATATGGTTTATACAGACATTAAAATCTGATATACAATATGATACATCCGATCAATAAATACTTAAAGCATAGAGCCCTGAAATGATTCACGAAAACTGACAGACTTACCAACATTGCGTTATCGAATCTCAGAACAGTTACAGATTCCTC